AATAAGATCGTACTATTCAAATCAATTTCGAAATGTTTTAGCTGTCCCAATGCACCCAAATACTGTAGGTTTGTATTAAACAAATCTGGTGTTCTATTGAAATACAATGAATCAAGACACAATTCTACAAGATTTGTTGAATTATCAACTATGGCTTTTAATATCAATGGAGATAATTCAATGCAATGGACCAAAGTCAAACGTTGCAATTGAGGATTTAGCGACAAAAACTCGACAACAATGTCATCTTTTACATCTGACCACGATAAGTAAAACCATTCCAATCGTGGGATTGTTCGCATGAAACTATGACATTCCGTAGGTTCGATGCTTTCTATTTTCAGTACTTTCAACGGTGGAAAATGTTCAAAGTTTGGTGAAATACGCCATAAACGCAAAACTTCTAATGATAAAAACTGAGTTTGTGCAAAATCTGCGTTGTAATAGGAAATTTCTAATTCTTTCAATGTTTTGCTAGTGAATTTCACTATCGATTTGAATATGTCATCGTTACGTTCTTCGTTTGATGAATTTTGTTCATCATTGGACCATAGCAGTTCATGGATAAAAGGTCCGAAAGTATTCAAAAACGGAATTTCCCGGTCAAAAGGTACACAATGATTCCGAAACTCTTCATTCTCCATTCCGATATCCACTCAGAAACACATATTTAAACTGCGTTCGAAAACAATTTTTCGCGTTTTGTTGAAAACGTTGACATACTTCAGCCATGTTGATAAAGTCTTCTAAGCAAAATATGCGACGAAAAATCCCTTCGATGCAATCATCGTTGAGAACATTTAAAATATGTTTCGTTGAATCCTGTGTGGGAGGCTGGTCCATTTTTACTGCGAGAATCAATTTTATTTTATGTTCTTGATAGTCAAAATTCAGCATGTTTACTCTTTAGTTGCGAACTCACCATAAATTGAATTGGTTCTATATTCTATGGTCTTTTTCTTCAGGTCGAAAACTATTGTTCTTGAATGAAATTTTTTAGCTTGTCTAAACTGCTGCAACCGATACACAAATAAGGATAAATTGAAAAATGAATAATTGTATCAATAATTTTGTTTCGAATTAATTGCAATTTGTTGGTTTTTTTTTTTTAATTTCTACGTGATATTATTGTGATACAAAAATGCAATGTTTACCACTACTCATATACACGCAAATAGATGCAACGAAAACATCTGCTTCAAATTAAATGAGAGGTTGACACTGTGCTCCATCTAGTGACGAAATATTACAACAACAACAATAATTATTTAAAGACTATTTCGGTGCCTAGTCTATCTTTGAATCATTAATGATTGTTCCAACATCTCTCTCTCTCTCTCTCTCTCTCTACTCTATTTAATGCCATTCTAAAGAGCTGATTATAAAATTACTATGAGATATTGTTATTCTAAAATTATAACACCACTATTATAATTCTGCTATATTACATTTACAGATGAAATTCTGTATGCATTTTGAATGCAATGAAGAAAACACACAGGCTGATATTTTAGAGTTGTAGAAATAATATCTGTTTATTGTGTAAATATATTTTTCTTGATAACATCAAACTGTTGAAACTTGAAATTGTTTTTTTTTTATAAAGAAAATACTATTATTCTGAGACGGGAAAATAAATGGAATATGAAAACTTCTAAACAAAATTGTGAAATTCACAGTGGTTTCAAACGTTTGTTTGATTTTCTCTTTCATTGAATTGAAATTATGAACTTAAATTCTAAACATATTCCAAAATAAGTGTAAATCTGAATTACACAACAATGTTACGTTCTTTGCATTTAAAATGGGTAGAGATCTTCATCGTCGAAGTCGCATTCGTTTGTCCAGACCTTGAGAAAAACGTAATAGAAAAAACACAAAATAAAATCATTCATGGGCTAGCGTGATGAACGCAAATTGAATGAGAAATTCTAGTCAACTTACATTGTATGGATCGTTGAATTCTTCATCTTCATCGGTGCCATCGTCCATGTCATCGTCGACGGGATAGTAGTCGTTGGCGCCACCTTCCTCAGCTACATCGAAAATGAATATTTCATGAATAATCCCGAAATAATATGGATATGTTTGGACTATAGTTCTATAGAAAACAAACTTACCAAAGTATAAATTGTCGGAAACAACACCAGATTTATAGTTGTCTTCCCATGACAAACTGACACACTGCAGAATGTGAAGGTATTCTTTGCGCATATCGTCGCTGATCAGCTCTTTGGTGAGCTTCAGCTCATAGTAGTCCAAATGGATGCTGAGCTGGAGCTTATCGACACGTTTCTGTACACTATCGGCCATGCGTACAAATTGCTCCGAATTGATCGGGATGATTTTGCTGCACTGAATGATGATTAATTTTTCCAATTTCGGTGAATTTTCCACAAACTCCGCCAATTGCTCAAAGTCAATGATATCACATTCGATAATGTGAAACTCTTTGAGCTTGTCCAATTGCTGAGCAATCGGTTTGATGCTCTTCATCTGGCCATCATACATCGAAATCAGTTTGAGAACTTGTAAATTTTTCAAATTACACAATGCGCTGCACAGTTCGGGTGTTAGTTCAGCCGATGAGATGCCCAACTGTTCAATGCGATTTGTCATAGCAAGACCTTGTACAAATGTCACGATTGGCCGTAGACCACAATTGAATTCTAATTTGCGCAAATTTTGCAGCCGCAGCAAATTGTTGAGATTCGTTTCGAATTGCGATGTAACATGTACGACACGGATATACAACGCTTCCAAGTTCAGCAGATTGTCAGCAATAATTTCAAAGATTTCATCATCGACAAAATTGCAACCGATCAACGACAACGATCGCAACTGGATGTTTTTCTTAACGAATGTGTTCATGCATAGTGGGTCGAAGTTATCGTTTGACCGCAATGAAAAACCTTCGAGCTGCGGGAATTCGTGCAGCAAGCAACGTCCGTCGGTGTTCATCTGTCGGATCATTTCCAATTGATTGAGTGATGTGCATTTTCGCAGCAGCTCTTTCAGCACATCGTCGTCCACATAGCACTTGTCAATTGTCAGCTGATCGATGTTGGACCAGAGGCGTGAGCATCGCTCAACCGTTTCCTCGTCGATGACAAATTTTACCATTTTAAAGAAGCGTAAACGCTTTGCACCACAATATTCATTGATAATTTGTAGCACGGTCTTTGATTCCGGTTCGAATGAATCAGCATTCACTGTAATCGAATCCATTTGCACGCCGAACGTCGTGAGTATGGTTTTCATCTCTTCTTCCGTCAGCAGCGAGTATTCACCTTTTATATTCCAATTACTAAAATTCAACGTTTTGTAAACCATTTTGAAAAAATATTCAGCAAGCGCATCAAATCTTTTGCACGTGTAACGAATCGCACACAAATCCAACACAGTCAATCGTTGAAAAATCTCTAGCACACAATCATCATTCAGATCATAAAATTTTGTCGCATTCGACGCATACGGATTATGGAAATATTCATTTTGATGAACCTCCGCTGACATAATTCGATGCTGATGCTTGTTGGGTATGCGGTAATTGGCTCGTGTTACTGTTGTTTTTGTTGTTGTCGTCGTTGCTGTTACTATTGCACGATGGTTGGTGATGACAATGTGCGAACGTCGTCTGAATTGTTTTTTATATCGTTTATTGTGTGTGCTAGTTGGTGGTTGGCGGTGACATTCGATACTTCGATACAGAGGCAAGGGAGAATCCACTGTGTGTTATGCGATGACCTTATTCAAAACTAACCATATCTTTTTCCCTCTTCGAATCAATATTTGGGGGGACAAATAAAAAATCTGTAATTTTACAATGAGAATCAACATAGTTGAGCATTGTCTTTTTAATTTTCTAATTCTAAATCTAACGATTCGGTTTTCATGCATTGCACACTTACCAAAAATGAGTAATAAAAAAGCAAAACTAAAGAAATAATTATCCCCGAACCAATTTGAAATTCAATCAGTTGATGCGTTTTTGTATTACTGCTCGCTGGATGAAAAAAAAAAACGTACAATGTGCGATTTACTGCATTCAATGATAACTGCGTCAAATGTGCTATACAAAACAAGCAGCCAAACAATTTCCATTTGTCATACCGAAAACCACTTTGCGCATCCCTATCGGAAAATTGCGGTCAAACAGCGCCATCTCTTTACCTTGAACCATTTTTTTCATTCTCTCGCTAGATTCAACTTTGAATCTGCAATACAAAATAAAAAGAAACCACGTCTTCGCACTTTATTCTTACGAATGCAGATGAATTTGAGCAGCTTTTTCTCAAAGGAAACATATTTGTTTGAATTTGTTGCTGTTCCATGGAAATAAGATGAAGAGATTGAAATTTTAAATAGAAACATATTTTATCTAGGTTCTTATTCGAAATTTGGTTTTAATTTAGTTTATTTAATGTTATCGTCATACCTTCAATACCAATTATTATAGTTCAAAATTTTATATTATCTTTAATTGGACGTTACATACGTTTAACGAACGAAACAGGAGATTTTTCGATCACACGCATATGACTGGATAGAAAAAATGACCTTTGGCTGAGACGAAGATTATTCTATGATGAAATCTGACTGCGATAGCATATCTTAAAAATCATTCAGGCGTTTATTCACCTTACTTTACAGATTCAGTAGGTTCAGGTATTTTTGAATTCATTTTCAATTTTTATTGTTACAAAATGTTCAATATTTAGTCGAGCATTTTTCGAACGTAATTTGCTCTTTTGATCCTCGAGAAAACTGTAAATCATTTATCATTTCCAAAGCAACAGTCCGTTCTCACCAAAGAATAAGTGATAAATTAAAATTTATCTTGTAGCTATTGGTCGGCAGCAGTCTATTTAAAATCGAAGCGTGAAAAATCAGGTTGAATTTATTCCGTTTTAGGGCATATAATCAATTACAAAATCATAATGACACTGGTGTGCAAATGTGTAAAACGATAATTGGAGAGATGTTACTGAAGTGTGTATGTGTATTGAATGCTCTCACCACTGGCCGACACGTACAAACATTAGGGATATTAGTTTTTAATGGAAAGCGGGTGTTTAACGTAATTTTGGCTGGAGGCTATGCACAATTTACAGTAGCATTATAACACACAGCCCGCCAAATACACACTCGTTCGGAGTGAAACTCATCATCCATCTCTTCGTCGTCCAAATAAACGGAATGATTTAGTAGAATCTGAGATAGCTTGCGAGTGAGCATTTCTCAGCTGCATTTTCCTCAAACGTAAAGACCGAGAATATTTGCGTGGTAATTTTAGTTGGTAGCAGTTTTTCCTCTTGTAAACAATCAAAGTATTTGCTTGTGAGTACTTCAATAGTGTTTTGTTGCATCGGAAATTCCAACCAGATAATCTCTGAGCTGAGATAAGCCACTTTGTATTCGGCAATTATTTATCGATTCGATCGGTTATTGTTACCCATTCAATAATAATGAAACAAATAGGAACTTATCGTCAGTCGACCGTTAAAATCATTATTCGCCAGATACGCGCGCAAAGAGACACACTTACTCATTTTAACAATAGTGTTCAAGATTGAGTTGAGGTCATTTTCAGACCAGCTCATCGTTTAAAAAATAATTAAACATTTTTTATCATTATCTGTGTTGTGTTGCTTCCAACAATTTCTTTTATCAATTCTCTATCCTTTCGATGCGTTTCAAAATGATTATGCGTTGACTAATTTTTCAAAAATCCCATTCATTAATGCTTCGAAAGTATTTCAAAGATGACTAAAGCAAAAAAAAAGTCTGTATATATTCTATCTAATCGTATGATGTTTGCACGAACACACACACACACACACACACACACACACACATAACATGCCACAGTGTGGACACCTTCGTCTTCTATCACCCGAATAAATTTGCTGTTCAATGTGCATGTAAATGGAAAAGGGATCAAAATTGGCGATAAGTAATGAAATAGTGGATAGCCAAATTCCAGTGGTTTGTAATCTTACAGGAATTATGTTAACAAAATTGTTGGCATAAAAGCGGCAACATATTTGGCTGACTGAGCAATAAACTGGCACTATATGTTGTATGCTCCATAGCTCCATATATATCGTGAGTCAACATGCATGTTCTCTAAATCCCGAGTATTATATGGAGCTCTGTTGCGGCTTATGTACAATAACGAACCGAACTCTGCACCGATATTCAACATCTTTTAACAACAAGCATGGTATGCGTGTGCATGGGTATAACATATGCTGGAAAGTTAATTCGCATAAAAACCACAAGCTAAAACACTGGCTCCCCACATACACACAAACGCATATATTATTTGGTAGTTTTATCGGTATGCCGAAAATGTTTTATTTGTAAACATATTATTGAAGTTCTGATTTATCGACCACCGAGTCCCACTGGATTTATCCGGCAGAGCCGAAAAAATGTCATTTCGAATAAAATAAGAGGAGAAAGAAAGAAAACAGAAGGAATATACATCATAATAGTTACTGACAATACAAACCACTTTACGTTTACGTTGTTGTTTTTTTTTTGATGAATGAACGCGGGAGTAAGCTTGTGAAAATGCAAATGACATCCCATAATGACGAGAACGAAAGAGCTTTGGATTTGAGCAAACGAATTAAATGAAACAACCGTAATTTCGATTCGATTGTTAGGAACATTGTTCTGGAGAATGTTGAAAATCCCCCTTCTCTCTCTCTCTCTCTCTCTCTCTCTCTCACTCTCTCTCTCTCTCTATGTATTTCGCTCGAGTCGCAAAACACAATGCGCGAAAATCATTAATCAAAGCAAAGTCGATACAAACCAAAAATACATTCCAACAACGATGGCAAAGACGACAAACGATATCGAATGCTAGCGGAAAAAAAAGAAAATACAACGAAAACAATTTAATAAATGATCTGAAAAACGCGGTAGAAAGGAAATGAATTGCACAATCGCCGAACAAAGAGCACAAAACAAAAACAAAAACGAAAGGAAAAAAGAGACTTGAAAAAAACGTCGACTTGCTCTCACTCTCATCATTCAATCTATCGTTAGTCAATTGCAGAAAATGAAACTGCATGAGATATTTCTCGTTGTGTATTTTTAACACACCAAGAAGAGCACTGTTCCTCCTGGTTCCTCCCCTCATCCCATCATCGCATCACACAACGACAAATACTCGATGCGATGGATGATTAAAGCAATTAAAATGATTCCTACATCGATTATATGATGAGCTGTAATGATGAACGAATGAAAAAAAAAATGCTGGCTCGGCATTGAGATTGCTCCATCAAACGTAATCATTGAATGTTGATGCAAATAAATTACTACAACAACAACTCTCTCTCTCTCCCTTTCACCCTTTCTCCCTCTCTCGAACGATTTTCACGAAAATGCATCCTTCTACGCTTACTCTCCCTTTCACTTCTGCCATTTTACCTTTGTTCAAAAAAGGAATCTTTTTTCAATTGCACAAAATGCTCCTTACATGCAGACAACGAATTCAAATCAACGCACAATGAAAATGACGACGTAATTATGATGAACAATGCACAAATGGTGTACATTTCATCACACCACTTTTATGAGTACGTATGGAAGAAAAACGATACGAGTAAATGGCATAGAATGCTCGGAAAATTACATTGTATGAAAATTATTTCAACAATAGGCAAACAATGAATGATAACAGCAGAAAAAAAATCAACAATCACAATCGAACTCCCCAACCTGGTCAAAGAAAACACGTAAAAATAAGTAAAGTTAGCAGAATTTGTTTTGCTCTTCCCTTTTTTCTACTCTGCTTTCTGTCGCACTTCTTTCCTTATCTTTTACAACTCGTGTGTACTTTTAAATGAGTTTTCTGCAGTTAATAACAGCACGCGTAGTTCAGTTGTCCAAACGGGAAAAATAACAGAAAGGAAAGAGAAAGATTTAAGAATTAATTTGACTCGAGATAATTATACATGAACTAATAATTTTTTTTCAAAGATCATATGCTTTAAGATGTAACGGATGCATCTCATAAAGAAAATCAATTCATTGTTCTTGTACATACAACACCAAAGTTTTCCACGGTAACATCAAACATAATGAAACGGTGATTATTTGATGATGAAGAAAATCTAACCGTATAATTGATTTGAATGAGAAAAAAGCGGTTTTATGCAATTTTTTTTACCCAACTGCAAAACGTTCATTGTGTGATATCAAAAATTGTTGCACCAATTGATTGTTAATATGAGTGTTGGACAATATGCAAAACATCAATATCAATTATATATGCTGGCAATTTGAAAATGCATCAAGTTCATTATTTTCGGTGTGATACATGTTCGCGATTGGCACGACCAATAAAAAGAAGCACACAAAGAACACAGAGAATGGCAATCAATGTCAATGTACAAATCCCGATTTATGCTTATGATATTTATATGCAGTTTTTATGCGGAAATTTTTGCCAATTGAATTTTATGAATAAAGACTCACACCGCTCCAAAGACTAACCGAAACCAAAGAAATACAATTTCAAGTTTCAACACTCAATTAAAGTTTGATGTTATCAAGAAAAATATATATATATATATGGTTTTCCACTTTAAAATAGTGGTGTAAATAATTTTATAAAAAATATTTCAAAATAGGTTTAAATTCAGCATGAGATAGAGTAGTTTGGAGAGAAATTGTTAGATGTTGAAACACGAGTTCAAAAACACACTAGACTATTGTTGTTGTTCTTGTAATATTTCGTCGGTAGATGGAGCACAGTCTATCAACCTCTTATTCTCTTTGAGGCAGATGTTTTCATTGCATCAGCTTGAATCGATTCCATTTGAGTGTGTATGAGTAGAGACAGCCATTACTTTTTCGTAAAAAATAATATTACATCATTGAAATTTTTTCAAATACCAATAAATTACGATTGATTCGAAACCAAATCAAAAGTACTTCCTCAAGGCAGTTCTATTTTTGTGCATTAATTGCAGCAGTTTGAATAAGACAAAACAAATTATTCAAGGACAATAGTTTTCGACCTGAAGAAAAAGACCATAGAATATAGAACCAATTCAATTTATGGTGAGTTTTCAACTAAAGATCACAAGAAATAATACACACGCTATATTTTGACTATCAAGAACATAAAAAAACGGATTCTCGCAGGAAAAATGGACCAGCCTCCCGCACAGGATTCAACGAAACATATTTTAAATGTTCTCAACGATGATTGCATCGAAGAGATTTTTCGTCGCATATTTTGCTTAGAAGACTTTCTCAACATGGCTGAAGTATGTCAACGTTTTCAACAAAACGCGAAAAATTGTTTTCGAACGCAGTTTAAATATGTGTTTCTAAGAAGATATCGGAATGGAGGATATGATATCGGAATGGAGAGTGAAAAGTTTCGGAACCGTTGTGTACCTTTTGACCGGGCAATTCCGTTTTTGAATACTTTCGGATCTTTTATCCATAAACTGGAATGGTCCACTGCTGGACAAAATTCATCAAACCAAGAACGTAACGATGACATATTCAAATCGATAGTGAAATTCACTAGCAAAACATTGAAAGAATTATATATTTCCTATTACCGCGCAGATTTTGCACAAACTCAGTTTTTATCATTAGAATATTTGCGTTTATGGCGTACTTCACCAAATTTTGAATATTTTCCACCGTTGAAAGTACTGAAAATAGAAAGCATCGAACCTACGGAATGTCATAGTTTCATGCGAACAATTCCACGATTGGAATGGTTTTACTTATCGTTGTCAGATGTAAAAGATGACATTGTTGTCGAGTTTTTGTCGCTAAATCCTCAATTGCAACGATTGACTTTGCTCCATTGCATTGAATTATCTCCATTGATATTAAAAGCCATAGTTGAAAATTCAACAAATCTTGTAGAATTGTGTCTTGATTCATTGTATTTCAATAGAACACCAGATTTGTTTAATACAAACCTACAGTATTTGGGTGCATTGGGACAACTAAAACATTTCGAAATTGATTTGAATAGTACGATCTTATTCAAAACAATAATCAACACTTTTGCCGAAAATGAGGTGCCAATTGAAACGATGAAGATCCATCTATGTGATGAGAATCCGAACATCGATTCTTCTTATCAATTGTTAACCATAAGAACATTAAAATATTTGGATTTCATGATATTTCCGAAAAATTGCTTCAATGAATTGATGGTCACTATTTTGAAAACGCAAACTGAATTAGAGTCAATCAAGATGTTTTGTAGTGATGATCCTTCTGAAGACGAAACTCTTCCAATGCTAGAAATTAAAAATGTATTGCCTTATGGTAAAAACCTATCGGAATTTGAATGTCACGTTGTACAATTAGGAGTTAATTTAGAAAGCTATGAATCAGTTCTGTGTTTGGTCAAAAATCGTATCCGAACCAAAATTATAATTGGACACGTGAGCAGTAAATGTATTCCAGATGATGTTTTAGCAAAAAATGAACATGAATTTGAATGGTTGGACGTTCGATACGTAAGGATGAATGATACAGAGCCGCGCATATATTTCCCTAATCCAAATGAAATGAATGTTTAAAAAGTCATCTTTCCTAGTTGAGATATTTCGATTTTTTCAATCATGAGAATAACAATCTAGTTAAAAGAAATTCACACACAATATCACGAGCTCACAATTGGAGAGTGTCCACTAATTGACTGGCCCAACGATTTAATTCACTGTATTTTATGTCGAGACGAATCTCAACAATCTGCTGCGGCTGCAAAATTTGCGCAAATTAGAATTCAATTGTGGTCTACGGTCAATCGTGACATTTGTACAAGGTCTTGCTATGACAAATCGCATCGAACAGTTGGGCATCTCATCGGCTGAACTAACACCCGAACTGTGCAGCGCATTGTGTAATTTGAAAAATTTACAAGTTCTCAAGCTGATTTCGATATATGATGGCCAGATGAAGAGCATCAAACCGATTGCTCAGCAATTGGACAAGCTCAAAGAGTTTCACATTATCGAATGTGATATCATTGACTTTGAGCAATTGCTGGATTTCTGGTAAGTGTGCAATGCATGAAAATAAATTGTAAGATTTAGAATTAGAAAATTAAAAAGACAATGCTCAACAATGTTGATTCTCATTTTAAAATTACAGATTTTACGCTTAGTTTTTTGAAAACCCCATTAACTAAACTGATTTGTAATAAATCCATCTTACAATTCAATTGAAGTAATTGGCGGTAAAGAGGATGTAGACGATTACAAAAGTACTGATTCTGTTTTAGAAAAATTGTCATTGTTCAAGAAATTGGAGCAGCGTCAAGCGGCGAGTACAGCAGCGGCTGCGGCAGCTGTGACCAATGCAGCAGCACTGGCCAAAACCAATTCGATTACATCGTCAACGGGAGCTATAAATGAAATAACAGCTGCATCACCCGCATCAAATTCCAGACCGAACGATGACCTATCCAAATTCATTCGATCGATTGACAAAGATCCAGGTATTGAACCGAATTTCACCCATTCTCAATGTTTTGTATTTCCAAATGTACATGCACACACAACACACACACATGAAGCAAATTGGAGTACGCGCGAATGTAGGGATGCATGCATTGGAAACATTCAAATCATTTGGCAACAACATCTTCTTAAAATGGTTTATAATTCTGATCAATTTCAACGCGTAATTGCAGGTTGGTACCCAAACGGAGGAAGAATTGTGCTTGTTCTATCGGTTACATCTGAAACAAAGCCGTCATCATTGCACGAATGGTGCGGAATTGCAGGTCGTCAAGTCCACGATATGGACGTGGATGTGGGTGAGGCCAAAGTCAGATGCAGCGACGCAAATGATGCTTGGAATGCTTACAATGCGATTTCTCACAGGTAAATGTTTATACGATTCTCTTTAAGTGTTACATTTCATTCTATGTAAAGACGCTGATGTCTGTACCGGTCATCTCTGGTCGTTGGATTGGAACGAAGAGATCAAAACCGGAAATTTTATTTATTTTTTCATTTGTTTTTCATTTCAGACAATTTCTTCAAGGGAGTGTTGAAGTTTCAATCCAACCACCAGCCAACATAGCCGGAATGGCAATGTCTGAACATATACAATACACAAAAATGAAATGCAAAACATAAAAGGGAATTTTATAAATATCTACCCAATAAAACAAAATAATTTGTATACATACATTACTCCGTTTTTTTCTCGATCAATTGATTTTTAAAATGAGAGTTGGACAATATGCAAAACATCAATATCAATTTGAAAATGCATCAAATTCGGTGTAAATGTATAATTTCGGTGTGGTACATGTTAGCGATTGGTAAACACAGACCGATAAAAAAAAGCAAAAAAAAAAAACACAGAGAATCAATGTCAATGTACAAATCCCGAATTATGCATATGATATTTATATGCGGAAATTTTTGCCAATTGAATTTTATGAATAAAGACTCACACCGCTCCAAAGACTTACCGTTTAGCTGTCATTTTTTCCATTGTAAATAAACGTGCCAGGATGAATTTCATTACCTCGTATTTCTTTCGATCGATTCAAAAGCTCTCTTGCTAAAAGTGTTCAATCCATACCAATGGACATTTGCAATGGAGAAAGTGTCTTTACCTTAAACATCGTGCCTAACCATTTCGGCAAACCAAAGATTATAGCACAGAAATAATGGCTATAATAGAAACTAAATCAAATCGATAATTGTTTTTGGGTGCAATGTAGAATCATCCGGTCATTTGGAGAGACAAGTGGAGGAAGAGATACATACAGGGGAACGGAACGAGCGAGAGATGAGGGAACAAATGAACAGAAAAATTCAATTATAAGAAATATATCATTATTCGGATGGCGTGTCGGGACAGGCTGGCATATGCGCGGGAGTGGTATGAAATTCGAACGATTTAATGGCAACGACATAATTGTTTTTTTCGACTATATCGGCATGCTGATGTGAAACTCACATTTGCCACTCTCAGTTCTACTTCGACTTTTTTTCGGTTTGGTTCTTCTCCACATTTTCCATTTCCACAGTAAATGTAGAACGCTTATGGACACGGACTTACACACACATGGGATAGAAAATTGACATGTTGTCAGCAGGATAAAACATTATTCATGTTTTGCACATTTAATTGGTCGCTAATTTGGCAATTGATTTCGTTGGATCACGAAATATCCATTGCTCACTGGCTTTTGTGCGTGGATAGAGAAGCGGCTCCATGAACATGCGAAAAGTGTATGTGCTTGTGTGTGCTGCTAGTCAACAATGTATTTGACCGATGTTTTGTCGACACATACCGATATACAGATTACCCTTCGGCGATTTTACATGTGTCACAAACGGTGGTGGCGGCGATGGTAATAGCAAAAAATAGACAAGCTTACATCAATGTTCGGTACAAAATTTGTCGACAACAATAAAAAAAAAAAACAATTTCAATCGCTCTCGGCTCTGAGTGAGTAGTCAACATATTGTTTGAAATGATTAGCCGAAAATGATTCGGAAGCAAATAAGAAATGGAAACAACTAAACAGCAATCCACTACTCAAGTTTCGTGAATTTTATGTAAGGTCGAAGAGTTTGAACTTGACTTCAAGAATGAAAAAAAAAATCAGAAATGTTGACACCGAGAAAAGAACCGCTTCAACTTGCATGTCAAGCACACTTGTCTCAATAGCATCCACTTGCATGGCGAAAACATGAAAGTTAACCAGATTGAAAATCACACCAAACAAATGCACCAAACAAATTATTTATTTCGATTAAATAGCCGAAAATGCCCCGAAAGAACCCAAAGAATAAAATAGATTTCGTATAACGAATGAGATAAGAGACACATCACCGTCGAACAATTCACATTGACACTGGTCAAAAATCGATTTTGAGGTTATGTTTTCCAATGAGACTTGAATTACAACACACTAAAAAAAAGTTTGTTTTAAATATACACATTGACACCAAATTCGTTTTATTTTCTATCAAATGAAACACAAAGTGATTTTCCAATAGAACTCAAAATGTATTGTATTTCATCGGAAACATCTGATCATTTTTTTTCCTGATGCAAAAAATAGTATTTTTGTTATCAAAACTGTATGTGAGTTTTTTTATGTTGGATATCGCGCTGTTGCGATAAGTCGGCTGCATTAAATGGTATCCAATGAAAAAAAAAAAAAAAACTGATCCAGTTGATGGTTTTACCGGACGATAACAGTGTTTTTATTTTATTTGCTGGTGTTGTTGAGTTGGTTGGCGCTTATTTGACTTCCTTAACTTGAAGACCTGGTGGCAATGATTGCTTCAATTTTTCGGCCTTCTCGTTGTCAGCAACGACCAATGTGTACAAGAAGCGTGAGCAGCGAATCTTGAATTTGGTGTTCAATGGGTTCTTCTTGATTTTGACGGCACGGGCATCCTTTCGGCGCGCCTTAATCAGAAAATCTTTCACTTCTTTAATTTCCTTCGGCATTTCTGCAAACGGTCGATCGCACACAGCAAACAATTCCCGAGACACACGAACAACAACGTGTTTTTGAATCACATTGACACATACACCGAAGCACGGACGATGATTAGATTTGAAACGAGAAAAAACGGGGAAAAAATCGATATGATTAGTTAATTGCACAATGAAATTTATTGAATTTATGGAAAATTCCGAATAATGGGCACATTTTTTTGCAGCAATCGAACACAAAATACTTACTGTTTTATGATTATTTTCCAGAGAGTGAAATCGCACACCGTCTTGACGCTTCACACGTTCGAAAAAGAAAGAATATGGAAAAAGCATCATGGCGTCATACACTTCCGTCCATATGACAAACCAGCTCACATGTCAAATACGACGACGTTTGTCATGCGGCTCGGCTCTACTACGCAGTCTCACTGAAGTAGCGCATGAAGTTGGCACCGCAACAAATAATTTAAAACATCGATTTGTACGAGTGTTTTTTTTTCTTCTTCATTTTTTTAAATAATAAATTGTAGGCATTTTTTTCTGTTGTGGTATTGGTTTTTTTTTTCATTGTTTCCGAAATATTATTATGGTTTCTGTTTTTTTTTTCTCGCTCTACTGTTCGTAGGTTTTGTGGTATTTTAGTTGATTTTAATATTGTCTGCTGTTTTGCACATACCTCAAATGTCAACCCGTACGTATGACATGTTACAAATTGGTTGGCGGTCGAATTCAAGCATATAAATTATGCATCGGATTTTTTTTACCCGTTTGGACATATGCATACCACCCAATCTACATGGGATAACAGATAAATTGTCGGAGCCGGATAAAGAAATCCAGGATTTGCTTTTTGATTCGTACAACATATAATATATCGTTGTGAATAAAAATCTTTATACACTCTGGCCAATCACTTTTGGAACGTTGGAGAGTTGAAAATCGAAACAACACGATGAACAAAAAACAACAACTACTCTACTTTCTTTATGAATTGTGTGCTTCGCATTTGAAATATGAAACCCGAAAAAATTCTCTTCCACATGGTAAATCCACATTGTGTTGGTAAATCATCCGAGCTCCAGACATCTAACAAAATCGTAACAACACATATATACACACACAAGCACTCTGCGAGCATTTTCCATTTTACAATTGCAAGTAATTAAATGCAGTACGCCGTTTTGTACTCGCTCTCTCTCTCTCTCTCTCTCTCTCTCGCAATTTTCCATTTTAAAGCTATATAAACAACCCCGAAATAAATACAACAGAAGAAAAACAACAAAAAATTGCAACGCACACACAGCGTACGATGTATGCGCGCACATACCGAACTCTATTTCGCATGAATGGAAATGCAATGCAGGATGATGATGATGATGAAAAAAACGAACAAATAAATTATTACTTTTGCTATTGTGCGTATATAAAAAGCCATTGTCGATATGAATTCTCTCTCTCTCTCTCTCTCTCTCTTGTACTTTTTTTTCGTTGTTGCCGCTGCTGCTTGCATATCACCGAATGAATGTAACCCAAGCAAAAATCCACACTGAATCCACGTTGCGTTAACGCATATCTGACACTGTTCTCACACGGTTTTGAACGGAGAATCGTGTGGCTTTAGTATAGTAGTGTGTGAAGTCGTTTGACATCATTTTTAATTTCAAATTACCGTGTAGATGCAGTGTATAGGTTTGTACGGGTATCAAGAGTTGACACCAAAAATGGTGTCAAATATACACACACACACACGTTCGTACTGAAGAATGTTGAAGTCCGCCACACTATTTTACGTTTAAAAAAACCGTGTGGATAAAGTGTATGACCGTTGCGTTATCATGACGAATTTTGAAACCATTTTAGGTGTCAACGCTCGATACCCATACAAACCTATAGGTTTGTACAGTGTATACACTGCATCCACACGGTTATTTGAAATTAAAAATGATTTCAAACGACTTCAAACTCTACTATACTATAGCCACACGGTTCTACGTTCAAAACCGCAATAGAACAGTGTCAGATATGCGTTAATGCAACAGTTTAGATTTTTGCTTGGGTAAAGATTAGCTTGAAATACAACAACAACAACAACAACAATAAAAACAAAAAAAAGTACACGCAAATAACACACTGTAAATGGAAATATTAATTTTTATGTTTGTTTATGCAATCAATCATCACATTTAAAATGTGATTTAATTTTTGAGCGAGGAAAAAAACACGATGCTGAATTAATTAAAACGAGAGAAAGAGAAAATCGAAATGATTCGGATGATGATTAGGATGAAATTCGGTAAAACGGATTATATATCGACAAAATGAAGATAAATATTCGATGGATTACGTGTGACCAAACGATTGGCAAACATAAATAAAGATTACATGGAATCGATCAATTCTTGGTACACCGTAAATGAACGTATTTTCGAAAATTCTTCTCCAATTTTCTGCGTCAACTATCATAACGCATTATCGTTAAGATCAAGCCTGTGTGATGGTGTAAATCATGAAAATTTTATGCACCTCCCAAAAAAGATACCAAGAAAATTAAAACTATTTCATTTTCGAAAAGTGAATAAAAAGACGAATAAAAACTAGTTGGGTAAATAGCGATGAATTTTGCATGCTGATATTCGTGGATATATTGAACGGGCGCTCGCGACATTTCGTTTGTTTACCGACATATTTGAACGGTAAATGGTGTTCAAGTGGATTTGTTATGTTATGTTGTACTTTGGGTCAAGTGCTATATCCGTGAGTGAGAAATGCACGTATCACGATACGATATATTATCCCCCTCACACACGCTCATCCACTCACTCACTCACTCGATACGATATAATAACATTTTAATGGATCGCTGTCACTCACTTGACTCTTAAATGACAACCGAATTATTCGCTTTATCATAACACACACACACGCATACCCATGTAGTCAGAGTGGATTTTCTTATTAAAATCCATTTTATTTTATCGCTTAGCGCACTAAATTAAGCAAATAAACTGCGATATAGTTTATGAAAACTTTCATTCGTTTGTGCATGTTCGAATTGTGTGTTTGTAGCATTTGTGTGAATCATAAAATTTCCGATAGAATGGCATCAAGATGTGTCTTGATATTGTATTCAATATTTACAATTAAAATTCAGTCGAAATCACTCGCCCTCTCCCACTTGCCTCTCCTAAATTCTTGCTCGCGTTCTCGATTCATGGGGCAAAAAGTGTTAGTTGTTGTTTATGATATGCACAACTAAAAAAGGCAAACGAAACATTGAGGCGATCCCATAATGGCACAACGGTCCCGAGTAACAAAAGCAAATAAACGGCGATGAAGAGAGCAAACAAAAAATAAACACGAAAATGGATACAGAGAGAGAGAGAGAAGAAGAAAAAAAAAGGACGCAACGGCGACGGCGGCAGCAACAATGTTTTCGGATAATTTATAAATGCATTTGGTTTTGGCAAGTTTATAAAATCGGTAAAAGTAACTTTCTGGTGACCAAAACCAGCGCTTGTTTCGCTATGTGGCAATCGTGGTAAAAGCACATGTGCTCTCGCGTTTAATATGCGGAACAAAATACTCTTTTCGGCCGGCATCGTCGTCGTCACCGCCGCTGTTGCTGCCGCTGCCGTCATCCTCGTTGTCGCTGTATCTCGATCTCTCCCGCTATCGGTCGCTCTCCCTCTTAGCACCCTTATCCATTGTTCGGCTCATAAGTGGTGTGTTTGAGTGTTGTACACGTTACGTATGCATCTAAGTTTGGCTCTTGAGCATCGGTATGTGAGTTGATTTTATTCATCCAATGCAAAACTATGCAAAACCATTATGAAATACACACAATTCCACATACATAACGTGTGATAACGTTTTGATTTAGCCACTTTATTGAAACGTATACATTCTTCTCGGGAATTTTATGCACAAAGACCGGTGAACATATCCGTAATCGTACTTACCGTGAACGTATCCTTGGCAAATAAATTGAAAAAGAGGATAAAGAACGAAAGGAAAAAATGGTGAAAGGAAATAATAAATAGGTCGTCGATGTCATTGTGTGTGTAGTTTCGGTATGCATGTTGCATAGTATGACAGGTTACCAGAAACAAGGCAACAATAACAACAACTGAGAAAAATAAACGAACGAGAATTTGTAAATGTCAACTTTTGCGCGAACATAACATAAGCCAAAATCGTCGTGTGCTTAAAAGTAATTCATGTGTACGAATCGACGTGTCGCCAAATTTGACCCATTTTCGACAATTTGTCGGAGGTGATTCGAGCAACGATGATTTTCTTTACATTCAACCGTCCCCCCGTCCAAATAATAATCAATTCGTTGTAAAAATATGTAAATTTGCCGGGCTATGTTTGCCACATGAACCTTTGTACCGTTTTACATCGATTCGAGAGAAAATCGCCCCAATTCCTTGGACTCGCAGTCGCTCGCTCTATGATGCCGTTGATTTTATGCACATGACTCGAATAGCCACACATTGTACACTATCCACGGAAGGTTTCAACACCGAATTTCGAACACATACACACACAATTGACAAATGGCTTTGCTGCCAAAAGTCTTTTCACTCGGCTCGAGATTATCGCTTCGACATGCACTGCGAATATGCATCGAATATACGGCTGTCTCTTTGCCATCGTAATTCACTCACACTTGTGTCGTTACCATTAATCCACTTCGTTCTCTTTTTCCTTTTTTCTCGCGCAAAAATTTATGAAATCGATTAAACCCACTCGTCTGAGTGGATGCAAATGGAAATTCGTGACCGTTTTTCTAATTGTGAAATGATGTTGTGTTGATTAGACTATGGATCTTGAAAATAGCGTTCAATACTACATCGAAATATGGATTTTGTTGACCATCCATCTTAAACTTGTTTTCATCCAAAAATATTGATCATATTCTGATTTTCTTTTCCCACTCTTTCAATCTGTTCACTTGTTTTGATTCATTGAATTTTTCCAAACTTTGCGAAAATATTGATATTGGTTTAATTGGAATTTTAAATATACAAACTAAATACCTTTCAAATCCAGTTGATTCCAATCATTTGATTCGAAGCAAAAGAAAAAAAAACGTTGCCTTGCTGAAACAATTCAAATCTTTCATACTCCAAGTGTTGAGATTCCTGTTTTTGTAAGATGAGTGGAAGAGATACAAGCAATTGCATTTGATTTTTTTTTTATTCATTTCATATTTAAATTCTGAATGGAACATTCATAAAAATATGGGGAAGCTAAACTTTATTCATAAAAATGTTTGTTTTTGTTAGTTATGATTTTTTTTTTTCGTAAAAAACAGCAGCTCACTATACGCTACCATTCGAATTTCTTTGATCTTCTAGGTATGATCGTGCTGATTGGAAATTTC